CGTCCAGGAGGCAGCGCTCTAGGAAGGAGCTCCAGTGTCCAGTGGGAACTAGACAGTGGGCCTTCGGCAGGGTGGGGGGCAGCGTGGGCGGACAGGGGACGAGAAATGCTGGGAACGGGTTCCAGACCCGGGGCCAGCCCCGCCCCCGCCGGCACCCAGCGCAGCCGCTGCCCGCCGCTGCCCGATTCCTTGCTCTAGGGTGTCTCCACCGCCTGGGCCGCGTGGTGAGAAGGAAGCTGGGGGAAGACTGGATCTTCCTGGTCCTGCTGGGCCTGCTCATGGCCCTGGTCAGCTGGAGCATGGACTACGTCAGCGCCAAGAGCCTGCAGGGTGGGTCTGAGGCCTTGTCCTGGCCGCTTCCCACCTGGCGGGTTCTGGAGATTCCGCCCAGGGCTCAGCAGAGTGGGCTCGGAGGACGCTTCGGCACAGACAAGACCGAACCGGCTGTCACCCCTTCCAGTGCCCCCCCCAGGCCGGGAGCACCCTTAGCAGGGACGAGGTTGGCCCTCTGTGACCAAGACCCCCTGGTCGTGGGGGTCCTTGGGCGGTGCTGACAGTTAAGCCTCAGATGCTGGCCGCAAGGTTGAAGGTGCGAGTCTCCCCAAAGCACCTCAGAACAAGGCCTGGAGATCCACTTTGGAAAATCGTCACTGAGAACCTGGTGACCCCAGTTTCACTCGGCCCCAGGAGGTGCTGTGAGTCAAGGGGCCACCTAGCGACTGCTGGTCCTGCCCCTGTGGCAGCACTCAGAGTCGGGTCCCTGAGACCCCTCGGGTCTGGCACCCAGTGGCTGATCCCCTGGGGTTCTGCCTCCAGATCACCACCACAGGTGGGACTGCAGCACCCCCACCTCACCTCTGCAGCTCAGGGGCCCACAAGCATGAGAAGGGCCCACATCGTCAGGTGGAACGGGCCACCCAGGCCTGAGGGCTCTGTGCCCCTGGGTGTGCTGGGGGTGGGCAGTGGTGGGTGTCCTGTCCCCTGTGAGGTCCAATGGGCCACCCAGGCCTGAGAGGGCTCTGGGCATGCTGGGTGGGCCGTGGCCAGGAGGCGGTGGGTCTCCTATCCCCTGTGAGGTGGAATGGGCCACCCAGGCCTGAGAGGGCTCTGGGCATGCTGGGTGGGCCGTGGCTGGCTGGCAGCTGGTCTCTTGTCCCCTGGGCGGTCTAACAGGCCACCCAGGCCCGAGAAGGCTCTGTGTACAAGGTGCGCCGTGGCCGGGCCGCAGCTGGTCTCCTGTCCCCTGGGCGGTCCAACGAGTCGCCCAGTCCACAAGAGGGCTCTGTGCACACTGAGTGTGCCGTGGCCGGGTGGCGGTTGGTCTCGTGTCCCCTGTGAAGTCTAACGGGCTCCCCAGGCCCGGGAAGGCTCTGTGCACTCTGGGTGTGCCGTGGCCGGCCGGCTGCGGTCTCCTGACGCTGCTTGCCCGGCCTCCTGTCTGTGTCTGCAGCCTACAAGTGGGCCTACTTCCAGGTGCAGCCCAGCCTCCCTCTGCAGTACCTGGCCTGGGTCGCCGTCCCGCTCACCCTCATCCTCTTCAGCGCACTCTTCTGCCACCTCATCTCCCCCCAGGCTGTCGGTGAGAACACCCCACGGCCCTGTCAGCTGCTGGCACGCGGCCCTGCCCCATGGCGTGCTCTCACTGTCCCCCGGGCCCTCCTCCCCTTCTGAGCCCTGGCTCCTCCTCCTGGCCGCCCCTCACCCACCTGGCCCCCCACACTGGCTCTGCCCAACCAGGCTCTGGCATTCCTGAGATGAAGACCATTCTCCGTGGTGTCGTCCTGAAGGAGTACCTCACCGTCAAGGCCTTCGTGGCCAAGGTGGTGGCGCTGACAGCCGGGCTGGGCAGCGGCATCCCCGTGGGCAAAGAGGTGGGTGGTCACGAGGGGTAGCTGGGCGGGCGGGCGTCTGGCCGAGGGGGCTCCGGGACAGGGAGGGGCCAGGGCCAGGGACCAAGGCCAGGCAGTGGGAGGGGGCATGTGGCAGGCCCTGGTCCTGGACGGGGTGGAGGGGTGTCCGAGCACGCCTGGGCCCGTGACACTCTGCGCGTGGTCAGCAGCACCCGCGGCCACCATCCACTGGGTGGCAGTAGCAGCTCCCACTTATGACAATGGGTGTGTCTGGTGGGGGCACGTAGTCCAGTGATCCTGTCCCCGTCCCAATAAGAGACACCTGAGTCTCTGACAGACACTTGGGTTCTGTGTCCACGCCCCTTCCGGTCCCATGGCTACCCTCCACACAGCTCCCAGAGCTGCCTCCCGGACTTGTTCCAGTGGGGCCCCTCCTGCTGCAAATGAAATCCCAATCTCACCCGAGCCCTGCCACCTGGCTCCTGCGTCCAGCCTGCCCGTGGGCCCTTCTCCGGCCTGGGCTGTCTGAGGCCTTCGTCCTCCCCTGGCCAGGATGTTCTTCCTCACTCCCAGGGCACACTCCCTCTCTGAATCGGAGGCCTGCTCCATTGTAACCTGCTGTCTTGGTGTCTTGCCACACACCTCAGGGCTTACGAGGCCAGAAATGTGTCATCTCTCAGTTCTGGAGGCTGGAGTCCGAGATCAGGGTGTCAGCCATGTTGACCCCTTTGAGGATCTGAGGGAGGGTCTATTCCAGGCCTGTCTCCTTGATCCTGGTGGACCCCTGACTTGTAGCTATCCTTCCTCTGTCTCTAGCCCTGTGTCTCTCTCTCCTTTTATAAGGAGCCCAATCACACAGGACCAGGACCCACCCTGCACCAGTGTGACTTTGTGCCAGCCTAACTGACGGCACCTGCAAAGCCTCCATTCCCAAACAAGATCATGTTCCACCCAAATCAAGTCGATTCTGACTCATAGCGATCCCCATT